TTTGCCTACTATAAGCTCAAGAATCAGAAGGTGACAAAATGTTTTTTTCAATGATTGAAATGTTCTCCAGGATGTAGCTCAGTCTTTACTGGCATATTTTCCTACAGCATTTAAAGACATTTTTTTCCAGAGGGATAAAAAAATGGAGTGTACGAATTCTGGTTGGAGTTGTCAGACCTGCTGCTTCCAGTTTTCCCTTTCTTCTCCCCTTCCTCTCCCCTTGCTTTTCTTTTCTGACCCACATATATCTTTAAATATTTTCTGTGTAGTACTTTCACTTTATATAGACATAAAAAATGCAATGGATTTGTGGAATCTGGCTCCATATTTTAACTTATTCCCTGGTTTTTGTGGAAGTCTGCAGAAGTTGAAAGCAAGCCTCATTTCTTTGTGGGGTTCAGTTGGTTTCCTCCACGTTGATTGAAACCTGACTTTATTTGCTTATAGCATCGAATATCTTGACATCTTCATGTGTCCTGTTTCAGTCTCTACATTTAACAAAACATTTTCAAGGGGAATGAAATCACTTGAGTTGTGCTTCAGGAAACCTGGCAGTGGTTGGAGTGCTCAGCCTGCCCACGAACTACTGTTTTGACTGAAAGGGAAGACAGAAAGCTCAGTTCATATTGTATCAAATCAAAACCATTAACTCCTCAATCTGAAAAAGGGAAAAAAAAAAAAAAAAAGAAAGAAAATCTGTGGTACAGCAGAGGTAACAAAAAGCTGAAGCAAAACAGATGCCTCCCAGCAGCCTAAACAGGGATAAAGCAGATTCCTTCAATATGGAACTGGTAATGAACCTGGAGATGGGTCAGTGCTGAGGGGTTTCCTTCCTGCTGCCTCCTCTGGAGAACAAACCCAGGCTTTGGTGCATTTTAACTGCCAGCTCAGGGGGTTGCAGAGCTGGAGAGGGAGGAATTAGACCTTAAAAAGAGGCTTTTCAGTGACCACTTCTGGAGCAGTCGGACACAAGTTGGTCAGTGTTGCATCTCCAAGTGCAGCCCGTGGAACTGGGTCAGTGTTATTTAGACTCCAGGTCTTTAGGCCAGGCTTAGTGAGGCCACACAGCAGTTTGTGTTGCTGGTGGCAGGGACTGCAGGGCTGTAGCAGCATCCTGCACATACAGAGGGTCCTGTGGCTCACAAGGATTTCCCACCAGTTTCAAGTTGTCTTGGAAATGTCCATGAAGACTTTGTGTGTGTGGAGTCTGTCTTTGACTTTGTGAGTCTCAGTAAGGCTTGATACCAACTAACCATGGACACAGAGACTGGTCCAGCACAGCCCTCGGATTACGTAAATCCCAATGATAGAAATATAAATAAACTTACATAATCATAAATAATGATATTTTAGTAATTTCCATTTCAAATATCCTTGCTTTTGCAGTTTTTAATCAAGACATATTGAAAGAAACTTCTGCTCAGCAGTTTTCTGTGTATCAGCTGTTATTTAATGATAAATTTTTAGGGGTTAATGTAGGAGATAAGGTGAGCATGGACATTTTCTCTCTGTTCCCTCACTACCACTCAGTTGTTGCACGAAGCACAACTGTGACAGTGAGCAGGGGTGGGCACAGAGCCCAGAAAAGAAAGAGGTGGGACCGACATTGCTGCCAAGAAAAAGAGACGTGAAATTCTACCTTTACATTTACATATCTGTACTGCAAACAGAAAGTGACCTCAAATCAACAGCAGATGTTATTTTTCCAGCTAATTTGTTTGTGTGTCATTCCAGGCAGCCACAACCTGAGGAATTTCTGCGTCTCCTGGGTTGTGGTGTGTGGAGCTCTGGGTGTCACTGCCCTCTGCCAGCTGGGGCTGAGGAACCAGGAGCAGAGTGCAGCAATCCCAAGGAACAATGTGAGTTCTTACCTGTTTCTGTTCCAAAAAATTCCCTCCCAAAAGTGTCTTGGAAAGTTTGTGTCCTTCAAAGAAATCTGGACTTTTTTAACAGTGATTTAGAAATCATGTATGTGGATGTTTTACCCATAAATCCCAAAATAAAGAAGTTACAAAATCGCTTCTTTGAGCAGCTTCCTGGGCTTGTTCAGTCCTTTGGGTCATCCCTGGGATAATGTGTATAAATGTTGTATTTCTGCCGGTGTGAAGTGCTGTAAACATCCACGTGGAGCCCACACAGTCCCCCCCCCAAATCAATAAAAGCGGAAAATCCCCATTGTACCTGCTGCTGTCATTCCAACAGGAAAGTTCACAGGCTATTCCAGCAGTTTGATGGCCTTCCTACTAATGCCAGGGAAATAATTGTAATCCAGCAGCATTGCCCAGCAGGGAAGCAGCTTGTTTTCAAAACACAGCCGGAGTGAGAAAACTCTTAAGCTGTGAAAAATGAGTATTTTGCTTTCTCCAGACAGGATGATGCTTTTTAAAAAATTTTTTTTCCTAGTGGCTCGAGCTCCAGTTGTTAGTTTTGGTTTGAATTATTGTGCCTGGGGTTTTTTTTTAGCATGGATTGATATTAGTGTGATACCCCAAAGCCTGGCACTGGGTTTGATGTGCTTTGTTGGGAGATAAAGATGAAATCCTTTCCAGCCCTCGCTTGAAGAGCAGCACTGAAGGGTTTTGAGAGGACTTCTGTGCAGAGAATCAGCCCCTGGACTCTCAGTTTATTCCTCTGAAAGGCCCCAGACCATTCTTGCCAAAACACACTTTTCTTTTGCAGAACTCCCTTGGTGTGGTTGAACTGTCAGGCCTCGTTGGTGGCTCCATCTCCTCTGTGTTTGACCTGGGCAGCAGATTCCCTCAGCTCTGCAAAAACCTGAGTGGGTTTGGTGCTACAGGGTTTTTTTCCCTATTCAGCAAATTTTAGGGAAATGAAGGTCTTTGATTGCTGGGAGAGGATTGATTGGCAGAGGAAGAAGAAGTGGAGTATTTACAGCTGCATTTAGCAGATAGAAGCAGGAACGTGCTTTGTATGATTGTTGTCATGAGCAAATAACATCTCCCCTTTTCTTTCTCCAAGCTATTCCACCTTAAGTCACCAACCAAGGGAATAGAAGTTGGGAATAGAGGACAGTTAGTTTAGAATTTTAGCCCCTTTTCACAAAGGTGCCATTACTGACTTCTATTTTTTCACTCTAAGTATATTTTAAAAACCCAACAAACACTTCAAAAGACCAGAAGGTTTTCCATTGTCAGTTGTATACATATTATGGAAATGGTTAATTAATTGCTAAGCTTATTCATATTCCCTCTCTACCTTTTCCTTCACTGGAATGCCACAGTATTTTCAAGCAGATCTACTGAAAAGACTGATTTCTTAACAGTTTCCCTAAGAACTAGTTAGCATTTGGAAGCAGATTATCCTTGCTGTTTGCACTTCCATAAAAATGGCATTAAATGGCATTAACCAGAGTTCTAAGAACTGTAACAATCCCTGTATTTTCAGTGATTTGTGCTAAAACTACTGAACTGAGAAAATTCAGAGCCCAGGAAGAGATGGAGAAGAAAGTCTTTGGACGTGTTATACCACAAAATGCCCAAATTACCTATAACTGGTTACTGTGATACAAAGAAATGTAAAAATACATATTTATAAAATATCTGTTTCAACAATATGTGTACGAAATCTGTGTTTAGTTCCGAAGAAGGGCCACAGAAGGCACCTCTTACCTGCTCTTTGCCTTGGCCATGATGGGAAACTGCACCTATGGGCTGAGCCTTGTCTTAAAGATGCCAAAAACCAAATCCTCCAGGGGCCTCTACTTTGTTCACCACCTTCCTTGGCTCATTGGCAGCTTTGGAGTCTTGTTTCTCGACATTTTTGTATCCTTTTCCTGTTACAACAGAGATTCTCAGGATAGGCTTGTTCATAAGTGGATCAGAAATGAAGGGGATTTTTTTGGAAATCATGTGGGTTTTTTTCTGGCCTGTTCATACAATCTTCTTTCTGAACAATGATTTGTATGATTTTTATAATGATAATTCTTGCTGAGAATAGCAAGTTTATCTAAAATACCTATATTACAGCTACATTGCACAGGGTGATTTGTGTCTTGGAGACAATAAGTAGATACTGCAAGTTGGGGGGGTCCCTATTGTGCTGTTTTTCTTAGGTTTGCTGTCTGCTAAATACATAGACAACCCCAAAAAACCACCCCCAAACATATCAAAACAACCCCCAAACTTCCCTATTTTTAAGTGCAAATACAGAATCACAGCTTTGAGAGTCTGGGTAAATTGTGGTTGCTGTTGTGAGACTGTGTTCATGTCAGAGACAAACAACGAGGGTTCAGCAAATTTGGGTTCAGAAAATAGAATTTAACAAAGCAGTGCTGCAGCAGCCCTTAATTTTGCGTAATTTGGGGCAAAATTTGGGCCTCTGAAAACCAGCTCTGCTCTCTGAGTCGTGAAGGGCCAACCAGCTACACAGATCTCCAGGTTCATGTGCCAGTGTCTTGAAAATCCTGGGCAAACATAACCCCCTATAGCTGATATATATTTATAATTCATGTATTCCCACAGTATATTAGTTATTGTTAGCCCTGCTCTTTCTAGGTGGAGCTTTGGCATGTTGTGCTCAAGAAAGGAAAAGCAAAATCTTTAGAGTGACGTTGTGCCTTTGCTTTAAAAGCCTTTGCACGGGGATGGTCTCACTATTGGTTCATAGTCACCTGTGTTGTTGCCATTGCTTGGATTTCCACTTCAAAGAGCTTAAAGAGGGGATATTTTGATTTTTTTCTCAGGTAAGAACTGTAGGTTTGTGTGTGAAAACCTCTTGGTGCTTCACTCCCTGCACTCAAACCAGGCTGAAGTGATTCCAGCAGTGCTGCAGCACACTGAGTTAATCCATTCCAGGTTAAAGGGGAGTTCTTTCCCAGATTTACCTGGAGCTGCTCCAGAAGTTATGATTCCCAGGCATCAGTCTTGTCTTTCTGATTAAAGGAATTTCCTAAGCCACTGAAACTGGATGAGTGACTGGAGAGCCAGAGCTGGCCTTGGGATGCTCCATTGCATTCCAGCCTCATTCCAAGTCCAGGGCTCTGGGCACTGTTTAAAACATTCTGCACAAATACCCCACCACACTGGGGAGCCTGAACTGGGGTTCCTGCCCTCTTCTGAAACAAAGTGTGGTTTTATCTTGTATGGGACAGTCCAGTCTCCTCTGTGAGCAGACTGTGGGGATTCAGGAGTTCATTCCACCAACAAAGTAGTGACTTTCTTCTGCCCCAGCCCCCGGCTGGAAACATAAACCTGTATTTATTTACCCAAAAAACCCGTAGAACTCAATCTTGATGACCCTCACAGTATGTTCTGTACGTATTTGCAGCTGCCTTTCTGTGATGTGCTCTGAAAATCAACTTTATATTGGCCCCAAGGCTCCCCCCCCCTCCATTCCTTGCCCTGGGGTTGCAGTGCCAGCCTGCACATGACATTAATTCCTGGGTTCTCTCTTGATTGGGGTCTGAATCCAATCTTGCTAATAGTCCTCCAGTTCAAACTGTATGGAAAACAGATGGTCCCAAATCAGGGTGAAGAGCTCGCAGGAATCTAGTGGAGCACATAGTGTTAGTTGGGACTGGATGAAGGATTTGTAATCAAGAGAAAACAAAAGCAGACCTCCTGCTTCGAGAAGCCCTGAAGGTAAGGAAGGCAGTGCTTTTAGAAAGAGCTTCATTACTGTCTCTTGCCAAGCAAGAAAATGAAAATCTGACATTTATACATCACTTTAGTCCAGAAACCAAAGAATGGGGTCACCTGGGCTTTGAAAACCAGAGGAATTAACCAAAAAAAGTCCTAATTTCTAAGAGAGAAGCGTTTCATAATTGGTATTTGTGTACCAGTCTCTGTTTTGAGGAGTAGTTGCAGAAACTGCCTAATTCTAGTGGACTTTATTCCTGATTGTGTCCAGAGTTTCATTAGGTGGAAAATAAACTCTCATTTCTCAAGGTCCAGGGCAGGATTAGGAGTTCACTCACTCTGTGTCTGCTGCTGTTCCTTGGCTTCCAGCTGCCAGGGCTGGCAGTGACTAATTCTAGGAACAAATGGGCTCCTGCTCCCAGCTGGAACAGCAGCTCTAGTGCAGGATTCCCCTGGAGTCTGGGTTTGACAGGGTAACATTCTCATCCCATCCTTTGGTGGCTGCAGTTATTTGCTTGCACAATAAGCCAGTGATTTCCATAAATAATGCAAGTGCCCAATTGTTTGTAAAGTAGGAGCTGTCCTCCTTTTCATTCTAAGAGGAGCTTCATGGCATTACACACTGGAATTATAAATTAGATGCATTTTCTTTTCCAGTAAATGTTTCCTTCCCCTTTGCAGCAGGAGGTGGTTGAAGTTTCTCAGGATCCTGAGGAGCTCAGGGTTTAAAAGGGTCTTGTCAGAGATGCTTAATCCAGGTTTGGATCCTATTAGAGCTTTATTTTCTTTGCATGGTTATTTAATGTTCCCCTTGCACACAAGGATCCAATACTACGCATTTTAAAATGTTAAATCAGTCAGGGAGCAGTTCTGCCCTTGGTTTTTTAGCAACCATCACTGAAGTTTCTAAAAGACTGAATCCAATGCAAGTTTTTCTGGAAAACTTCCTCTTTTTCTCTCCATCTCCTGCCCTGTGTCCTTCCTCCCCTGCTCCCTCCAAACCCAAACAACTCTGCTTTGTGTTTAGACAGACAAAGCCCTTCACCAAGATTTTTTTTTTTGCCTTGTTTTCTTTCCTTTGCCCTCAGCCATTGTCAGGGCTGTGTTCAGCTCCTCCTCGTGGGCTCCTTTCATTAAGCATAGTCAGGTTGTTACTCAATAGCCCAAGTTTATTCAGCAGGAGTCTGTACACAAACTTCTCCTGCACCTTTGGAATCCTTTATGTCCTTCCACAAAACACCACGCTTTGGAATTTAATTGTTGTGCTAAAAATGTGACAATTCAGCCAGGAGAGCTTCCCAGCCAAACACACAACTTCTCTGCGCTCCTGGAAACGCTTGGTTTTGTCCTAAGTTTTTAAAAACTCAGTTTTTAAATTCATCTCAGTTCTCAAATTGTCCTTAAATAGCTTAATTTCGTGGAACAAATTGGATATGTAGCTCTGTGGCTGTCAGGAAGTTTACTGTGGAACTTTACTTTGGTTGTCTCCTCCACTTTGGGCTGCTCAGATCTTAAAGTTTCCCCCAGAAAATCAGGCTTAAGCAACAAGTTAGTTCCTGTATTAAATATTCTTGGCAGTTTAGCATTTTTAAAAAAATAGAAGCAGCTGAGGGCATTTGCTCCAAAAACATGTTCTGGAAATGCTCTTTTATAAGCTCCACATAACTTGTGTTTATCATTTATTCACCATAAAAGCTTGGTGGCCAAGGGTGATGCCCAGTGCTACTCCACAGCCCTTTAAACCTAATTCCATGCAAATCCTTGTGTTGGAGACTCCCTGCTTGACCTCATCCATAACCTCTACCAGAAAACAAAGTGATTCGTTTCAAGTTCAAAACTCAAATATAAAAGTCCTCAATTATCCAGCAAAACTTCTGAAGAACTCTGTTTGGGTTTTTTTTTGGTTGGGTTTTTTTTTTTTGTTTGGTTTTTTGTTTGTTTTGTTGGTTTTGTTTGTTTGGTTTGGTTTTTTAAAAAAATTTTATTTAAAGACTGACTGTGTTCCTGGTCAATAATTTTGCTTGAGAGCTGGAACCATCAGGAAAAAGGACAAGTACATACTTGTTAATTCTTTTTAGATCAGCACTGTTTCCAAGGGTCTGGTTTACAATGGGAATAAATAATTATGTCTAATTGCACAATTCCTGTTGAAAACAGCATTAAATGTTGAGTCATTTGTTGTCTGGGTGTCAGTGCCTGGAAATTTAACTGCCTAGACTTTTGCAGGAGATGAGAGTTGTGTTTTCTGCTCAGGCTCTGCTGATCTATTGCCAAGAAGAGTTTTTTTAATAACTTTTTAATAACTTCCCCTCCTTACCAGCCTCAGCCCACCCCACTGCATTTGGGGCACTGATGCTGGAATGGTGCAGGGCAACATGTTTTATTCCACATTTTTCCTAGATTAACCTTCTTCCTATCCTTCTTCTCTTGAATTTCACACTTAGGACCCTTGCAAGCACAAGGCTGAGGTGGAAAGGATATTTTCCTGGATATTTGAGCCATATGCACGAGGGGATCTGAAGCTTGGAGTTAGAATTTTTCTTTATTTTTCCCTTTTCTAGTGCTGCAG